AAAATAAAGAAAATGCTTACCTCCACATCACTAACAATGATTTGTATTAAAAGGCATGTAGTAATGAAACTCATGATAATGAGTCATGTTCAAATAACTCTAATTTTAGATAAAACCTGGATGGATGTACAAAAAGAAGATTGTGCCATGCATGTGTTGATGTTGAGTTGAGATTGAAAATAATGCCAAAGATATTAAGTTACTCGACAAACAAATTTTTCCTCGAAATACATAATAGATATCTTGCAGTTGATATGCAATTACAAAAGAAGAAGAATCATTGTCCCAAACAACACACATGACAAGCTTAAGTAAATCTTAAGGAGCCATGAGGAGTTTGGAGAACAAAAGATAATTGCAAAAGAATAATCAGTTTCTCAAACAATACACATGACAAACTCAAATATTTGATGAGATCATGATCTTCGGTTGAATCTCACCTAGGTTTAATTTCGATGGTATTGTGGAAGCTTCTCATGATTCTAGAAAATAAAAATCCCCAAATTTGTTTGAGTTTCAAACAAACTTTCCATACATCACTCAATTACAAACACTCATTGAAATTCAAAAAAATAATCAATGAGTGTTAGTCAAAAGTCGTATTGATGAAACAATTTTTTGTACTTTCAAAACTTAATTAAGATTTTCTTCTTTGATTTTCTATTTATATTATTTGAAAAATCCCATAGTAACACATGATAATCATCATCCAATTTACTTTTACTAACATAAACCATGACAGATTTGACAAATTCATATTACGTGGCAACATATCATTGATCTACCAAATCTTTTAGAAGTTTTCTCGTTTCTAGATTGAAGTAACGATATTTTATTTAAGACTTTTGAAGTTTTAGATCATACATTTGTCATTTAGTCAACTTTAGATTTATTTAAACAAATAAAATTTGCAATACTGAGTCAAACCAATCAAAACTAACATGTAGTTAAAGTTTTATTTTCTTGGAGTTTGGATTGTAATAGAAAACAAAACTGTGGTACTCATTCAAATTGTCTAGAATTATTTTTTTTAGTTTTCAAATGTAGTAATCATAGCTTGAGTTTTTCATGACTAAGAAAACTATGATAAACTCATTGGCTAATGTTTTTTACTTTTTTCACATATACTGTATAACAATCTGTATTAAATAGTAGAATGGCGTTAGTGTTTCAAAATGAAGATTGTGTAGATGGAGTGTAAAAAATAATTTGTGGATGCTTTCATGCGCATAATATTTCTATATCATGTTGAAGAAGTAAAGTTTCAAGCCAACTGATGGAACAAGATGACATATGTCACGAAAGAGTATGAAGAGATTATGATAGCACTACAAGTTGGAAGTGCAAACAAGATGTTTGACGTTTTACAAACAATTTATACGCATAATGATATTTTCAAAAAATCATGATATCACCATTGCAAACCATTTGAAAACGGAGAAAACATTGGAGAGCATCCAATGAGCTTTACTTTTGACCTAAAAATAGAAATATGAAGAGACTATGTTTAAAGTTGTATAACTTGTCAACAAAACAAGTCAAATATTAAACTACGAGCCGATATATTACAACCTCTTTCCATTTAAGAACAGTAATGGAAGCATATTATCATGAATTTATTATGAAAGTTATAAAAAAATTCACTAGAAAACAATTTCGTTATGATTTTTGTACATTAGTTGATCAAAATTATTCACATCAAATCAATCAAAAAAACAGTGACGACTCCACAAGTTGTTCAATTGTACTTAGATCTAGTTTTTGCAGATCATGCATTGAGCAAAGTTTTAATTGATGATAGAGTTATTCATTTCATTGATTTGTTTTGAAAAATTTTGTTTTTTTTTTTGAAAAAAAATTAGCATTATCCACGGCTTATCATACTCAAACTAAGAGTCAAACAAAGAGAATCATTAAAACTGTAAAAAATAAGCTACAAACATTAACAATTTAAAGAGCAACAAGAATGATATGCTTCATGGTTGTTTTTGAAATTTGCATATAAAAATTTTGTAAATGTATTCACATAGGTGTTTTCATTTCAACTCGTGTATAGTGCATAACTCTATCAAGTTTGATGAAGTTTTGAAAACTAGAAGAGTTTTTAATCAAAATAACCTGTGTGAATTCTTTTGTAGAATATATCCACGTAATTTTACACCAAGCAAAGTAAAATTCATTGATTGCTCATAATCTAGAATTATAATATGCAAATTTTCATTGCATAGAATTTATTTTCACATAAAAGAAACATGTTTGATAATTGACAACAAATTTGTCTCTTGTAGTAACTCCAAAATTTAGACCTAGATTTATTGATTCTTTGTGATATTGAAACGTATAAATAAAATGTCATCCAAGTTGAAACTCCTGTCACATATGAAAATACATTATGTATTTGATGTGTCATGATTGCAAAAACATGTATCACAGCCAAATAAATTTACAAACTAATTAATTAATGCTAATATTTTTACTAGTCTTGATAGTTGATTATGAGTAATTTGAGGTAAAATATATATTAAAAATGGATTTGAGATCATAAATATTCTAAAATAGAATATTTGATTCAATAAAAAGGATACATATCACACTAATCAAATTTTAAACTAGCTAAAAATCTAGTTAATGCATATTTGATAATCCAAAAAAATGAATGAATGTGCAACAAGGACGTTGAATCTCATAAGAAGGGAGTATTATACATATATTTAGTTAATTAGAACTAAATTAAATTTCAATCAAACTAAAATTTTAACTTTCTTATGATTCAGTATTTATAATTTTCACGTTAACAATATGTGTGTTTCTCAGATGGAGAAATAATGTGTTAATTGATAGTGACACATCAACCATTTATGAACTTGTTAGCTAGAGATTGAATCTGTTAGTTGAAAGCAACACTTTAACAAATTGTGTGCTTGTTAGAATTATTCATCATAAATTAATGGATTAGATGTTTGAGGTTAAATCTTATATTATTATATTGATTAGTAATATTTTTATAAGTAAGAGTAAAATCTATTCAGGTATCTTTCAACTTCAGAATTGAGTTTCATCTCATAATGAACTACTCTCTTGATCTCTAGTGTTACAATATCTAGCAACATAAAAAACATCAAAGAAAACTTTGTGGTTAAATATGTTTATCATCTAGATCCGATTGAAATAAGAGATAATTAATCTTAAATGTGATAGCAAAAATAAGTTACATCTTGCTTCTAATCAAGTGATAAACAACAAAGTGAAACACATCAAAATCATATATGATGTATCAAAGATATAAATTTTGATTAAATTATTGAATAAATCAAAATCACTACTAAAAATCATTTTTTTGAAAAAAATGTATAATAAACGAAATTTTCAATAGACATTGTATTACTAAGCAAATTTTGCATGAAAAACACAAACATTATTAACAAAATTTGTTACCTTCATAAATTTCTAATCTATCATGTTTTGATTACGTTTTAGTTCTAATTAACTCAAATATAAAGATTTACTTATCTTAGAGATTTTCTAAAACTTGGTGCATAGTAATTATATGACTTATGGAGGTTAATTTCCCCACAACATTGATGAAGGAAATATAATTAAAATTAATTGAAATGTGAGGTCAACTCTAGTTGATTTAATACTTGTTGGGAGGAGATTTAGGTTTCTACTAGTTTGTGAAAGTTTTTGTTGCCCATTATGTAAGAGGAAGAGGTTGACCTATTATTATGTTTACCTTTCATTAAAACATTCTGATTCCTATGAACATAGCCTAGCAATGACAAATCACACCTATATTTGAGTCTTGTCTTTGTGTGTGTTATTTGTTATGTATTACATGGAATTTTTTGTTTACATTGGCAGTTTTTTTAAAAAATTATATAAACTTTTAATTATGTAGATTATATATATGTACACTAATAAAATAAAACTATGTTATGAAGTTAAATTATTATGTGACTTTTATAAAATAATATTTACTAAAAAAATTCCGAATATTATTGAGATCAAATCAACACAAAGTTAAAATATATTAACTCGATACCATTAATATATTTTACATTTTCAAAAATCAGATACTTGCAAGTGAAACAATCAAGTGAGTATAAATTTAAATTTATTGTACCATTGATTTGAATATTGTTTTGTATTATAAAGACTTAAATTTTATATTTCATTAGTAATAATGATTTTTTTATTTTGATAGTTGATTTAAACACCTTTATTATAAATTTTATATCAAATTTTTCTTATTAATATATTATTATTATTTAATTTATATATCAAGATTTGCAATGTTTTTTTGAATCTATTGTGATAATTACCAAAAAATATTTCTTAAATAGTTGAAATTTTTCCTGAGATCAATTTAGAGTTATTTTCATAAAATTTAATTATAATTAATTTTTATTTATTTAAATGTAGAAAAAAATATTTTCTATTTGAAAGCATAGTCATTTTTTTCATCTATAAAGATGACAATATTATAGAAGAAGGTAAACTCACACGTTCTAAATGTTAGCTTTATGCATATGAAAATAAAAGTTATAAAAAATCCTGCAGACATATTCATTAAAAACATTACTATACTTGTTGAGTAGTGAAGATATCGGTCACATTCTTAGTGTTGCTTAGAATTCTTAGTGTTGCTTAGAAGTACTCATCATGAATGTCCAAGAATCCAAGCACAAATAATAAAAGATACAAACATCAAGTCTTCTAAAGTCACATGCAAATTCGACTGACATGTCACTAAGTTGCACTGATGATTATACTTGAACAACTACATCTAAAGATTTTCTTTTGAAATTTTTATCAATTTGAAGAACAACATAAGCTGAAAATTAAATTTTTTGTATAAAGTTTGTATTGGTTTATAATGCCCATCAATTTTTAATACATATAATATTTTATTACATATTATCTCATGCGGGATGGAGTAAGCTAACCGCGGTCAAATTCGGACGCGTAGAAGCCATGTCAGGTTGGGGGATAGGGTTGAGGGTTTAGCGGACGATGCAATCCGGGGGATTCCACCACGGACAAGCACTCACTCCCGACCTCTCGACGGATGGGACATGTCGAATTTCTGAGCGGAGATCCAGCAGGTGGGACTGTTCAGCGGACAAGCTCGGGCATTGCTTTCGGGCGTGTAGAACACGGGTGCTGAATTCGGATTCGCTTTGAGTTCCGCAAAGATGATGCAGGCCACAGCCGTCTCCACACTCGGATGCAGTGCAATGCTCCCAGCATTGCAGCTGTCTGCACCTGCCTCAAGAAAGTCCTTCTCGCCGATAGGAGTGATTCCTAGGACATTGACTCGGCTTTCGGTTTCTCCGTCTGTTGGTAACTTTCGCTTCTCCTCTCGTCTCTTCTGGGTTTTTGCTTCTTCCTGCTCTTGCGGTTTTATTGCCGAAGCAGTCGAATGGCCATGGAATAGTTTTCGCAGTTTCCGGTCGATACTCTGCTCTTTGCAGTTGGTAAAGACTGACATTGCTTGAGAACATCACTCTCCGGTTTTCATAATATGCACACAATGATGAGTATGATCGATACAGCTTGCAATTTGGTATACCTCGTGACCCTGTTTTATCAGTCAAGGCTGGGAATGCAAGGGCTTTATAAAAGCTCGTTCCTGAAGCTTATCTTTTTCCAGTTTCGTTGACAGAGCTTGCACTGGAATGCAGGGGTGTGGGCACTATCGAGCAATGAATTTAGGAACGGGACCAATATCGAGATAGATGGTGCTCCTTGGAAGATTCTCGGTATGAATTCATCTATGAAATTTTGAAATTTTGAATTTATCTGTCTGTCTACACCTCCGAATTACCATGACAATTGCAATATCGATGGAGATCTTGCAACGCTCCTCACTCGAAAGCTCTGGTTTGTCTGTGGTCTCCTATTTTCTTCTAATTTCGGTTAAATCAGCCTGACGCGTAGTAATGGGATGTGGTTGAAGAGTTTTTGCACGTGAAACCGGGAAAAGGAGCTGCATTCGTGAGAACGAAATTGAGGAATTACGTCACAGGCAACACAGTCGATCGAACATTTAGGGCTGGTGAAAATGTGAGTATCGTATGTGCTGTTCTCACTGACAATAACGAAAATGGACGCGCGTTCGCTTCGAGGATTTGACCAGATCAGGGTATAAAAATTGCAGATTTCAACTTTCGGAATTCTGCTCCCGAACGTCCATTGCTTGGGCGGATTTTCAACTGAAACTACTGACGGATGCTAGAAATGATTCTTTCAGGTTGACGAGGCAACAATCATGAAGGAGTTCAAACAGTATACTTACATGGATGGCGAACAATACGTCTTTATGGATTCGGTAGTCACTCGAACTCGGCTTTCATAAGAAATCTGAAAGTATGATAATTTGCGAAAGTTCTATGTGGAATTTAGAGGTTTTAGCATTTATAACGAACTGCAATCTATATTCAGGAAACATACGAGGAGGTGCGTATTAGCAAGGAAGAAATTGGAGACAGGAGCAAGTTTCTCATGGAGGGAATGGAGTGCAGTGTTCTGTCGTGGAATGGCCGGGTATTCTTCGTCTCCCAGAGAGTTGTTTTTGTGGTTGGGTATCACGCAGTGAAAGGAAACTGATATCTTTCTGTTTTCTGAAACTGTCAGGAATTTCGTTTGCCGTAATTTTGATTGGCTTCGAAGGTCATTTTATTCAATAGCCTGCATGTTTCCGAAACGAACAGTTGATCTGTTCAAACGAGATCTTACAAGAGAAGTTTTTTTCTTAACGTTTTTGTTTAAAACTGGGACAGGTAATTGATATGGATCTGCCGGTGACAGTGAAGTTGAAAGTTATTCAAGCTGATCCAGGCGTAAAAGGAGACACAGCGCAAGGTAAATCATTTTTAAGGGGCTGGATTCCAGTCCTTCTTCTGGGTTTTTATGAGTACATTTTGACGTTTCAAAATATTACTAGATAATAGGTTCTGCCATTTGATTTGCCGGACATGCGTTGCTGATTCTAGCAGTCGAGATCATACTATGTTCATACTCAGAGTATTTTTGCAAATGCCAGTTTCGTCCCTGTTTCTAAAATCGTGCTCCAACTTGATAGGTGGAACGAAAACCGTGACGGTTGAAACTGGAGCAACTGTTAATGTGCCTCTTTTCGTGAATCAAGATGACACAATCGTCATCCAAACCAAGGATGGGTCGTACATCAGCAGGGGCTAGATTTTTTGCACGCAAGGTGAAATGCAGCTTCCATGGCTGAAAGAAGCAGATTCTCTAATCCCCCAAATAGGATAAGATTGTCGGAACTGATTCTATTCTTGATAGCTGTAGTGTAATTCTAACACCAATACCCTGCGCAGTTTTTGTAACATGATGAAAGTGAGAATTTGGGGCTAGCTTTTGGAAGAAACTGTATAGTATACAACTCCGCTAAATCGAGGTCCAATTCTCCTCGATTTCGAGCGAGGAATAAAGCACCACTCGGGATGTTGAAGAATTCTCAACGATGACATACAATTTTGTCAAGAACTCTCGAGTCATATTCATATCTGTTCCAACTGTTGTGTCCGATACAATTGCTTTTTCTTTCTTTAATTATAGAATCAAATGATTACCAATTTCAGTGAAGACACCTCAGGACAGGACACTGTCTATAATCCGTACTTATATATAATTCGTGGGCTCCCGCCGGAATACCCTTCCTTCGAACAGACACGATTATTCTTCCTCCTCCCGTGCTCATGTAACAGTTAGAAGATTTTTGGAGGGGCTGCTGCATCTAACTGTTATATGTCATGCCACTTGTTGAAGTAGTGGTATTGAGATATATTTTCACTTTAGTGATATATATATATATGTAAATATATATATAAACATTAATGAATAATACAAGAACTACATAAATTTAACTTATAATAATTTTAATTTCAATATGATTAAATTTATTGTACATGGAACAAATAATTCCTTTTCCCAAATTCAGAGATTAAACAGATGGTTTATCTAGGATTCGTGACGAAATATTAATTTGAATCAAGTGAATTGATAGCAATATTAAGCAATGACATAATAAATTAAGTTTGTTCTTCTTAGTATTAAATATTTTTGACTGTTTTAATAATTAGCATATAAAATTCTTGAGCTACTTTGAAATAGAAACTACTTTGACTTGAATCACGTAGTATATATTCGATTCCAAAATGTGAAGATAGATTTAGAGTATCGATTGAGAAAAAATCCAGTGATGATCGAGAATGTAACAAGTTTTGAAAGATATTGCACGCATCGTTTTACTTAACTAATGGCTATAGACTGCGTACCTGATGGTTAAAGTGGCACATTCAAGACAGCTCAAAATGTTTCTCATGTTCTATACTCAAGATAACACCCTACACAGTATTCTAGTTCGAGTCCGAATGTTCATACCAGTACTTCCCGTCTCTGGACACCAAGTCACTTACCGTACATGTGGTCTACTGATGACACTAGACATGTAAAACGTGAAAGTCCTTACATTTATCGTCGAAGATTTTCCAGCGGATGATAATCGATCCTTTTCAGTGTCTGCACTACAAAGCAACAATATTGTATCGACCGAGAATAAACTTTCTGACAAGCATGACTCCCTGCCTGGGATACTCTGCCTGGAATACCGTGATCACATCACCCATCATTCAGAGGAAACACAAATAAGACGAGCTTTCAAAGCGTTGACGATACTTTTATTATAGATCGTCTACAGGTTTGAACATGAATGTGACAAAGTTCACATCATCATATCGTATTTATGTGTCAGCAAAACAAGGACTTATGCAGAGTGCAGCCTTCGATGCTGAGGTTTGGATTGGCTTCTACCATGAGTTTCAAAATTTGGTGAGCCTATATAAAACAGCCAAATGGAGCTGCCTCAACAAGTAGCTATGTACACAGTTACATACACTGAATTCCGTGAAATTGGAACGATGCTGCCTCCACTACGCAAGCACTCACAAATTTCCAGCACTGACATGCATCTTTGACAGTTATTCATCGAAAGCTAGAGTACAAACAAGCTCACCACCTCTACGCAAACAAAAGAAGTCATAAGGAAATATTCCATCTACTGATGGTTCTAGCACTCGTCTCATCTTAGCAGTTATACAAGGACGTTTGGGCATTGTGCGAAATCCTTTCACAGTCAAAAGTTGGTTGCATGGAGCTCCAGGTTTCCAGATGATAACTCTGCGCAGATTCCAGCTCCTGAAGAGACTCCACACTTTTTCTTCAGGATTGTTTCCGCAGTGGCCTAACAAGCCCATCGGAAACATCGACCCCAGTGTGCTTCGCAGTTGTCACCTGAAGATAAAGTCGGTCCATCTTTGACAGAAAAATAGTAATCGTGATCGAAGTATTGGGCCTGCCCTGCCCTGCCGGCCTTGAGCATGCTATTCCCCAGCGTTTGAAGCACTTTCCTGTTACGGCTCCACTTTCACAATCAGCCCAGATTACTACAATTACAGGTTACACAACGCATGTCACTCGATGAAGTCAAACTGCTGGACGAAACGTATTGCTCCTTCTTGAACGATTTCTTTGATATATCCTCGTTGTCTACGGTATCCGGAACCCAGGAAACCTTCTTCCGCAGGGATGCCGATCCCCCGTTCTTGGCCAGCTTATACTGAGACTGCGATGAAACGCCATTGCTGCTGAAACTATTGGGCAGTGACACAGATCTATCCATTGCGATCGTCTTCTCTCCTGCTGCGTCGAGGATAGATAGCTTCACTCACACGAGTACGCGACGTAAAGCCTTGTCTTGTGCTAGTTTCAGTCGCAGACGTGTACAAAATCATAAATCTCCTTTCTCTGGTCGTCTGCTGCGAAGGAGCTCAGCGAAGGCGTCAATGCAAAATCTCACGGGGCTGCCTGGATAGCACGAAATCAGAGTACCATATCGTCGACCGAAAACGTCGAGAGAGTTGAATACAATTCCTAAGCCCTAATTCACAAAGAAGATGTAAGTCGAAAGCTGCTTCTTCTGTACTTATTTCCCTCACGATCTCAAGTGGCAGACGCACAGGAGATTCCTGACCATGGTCACGCTTGACCGAGCAATTAGAGTGAGAGACTAGTACTTCACTGTAATGACTTTCTCAGAGCCTGGCGGTGATTCTCTCCGGGAACACAACACGGTCAGAACTTCAGCCAAGAAGCACTGGACGGGTTCTTGCTGATCTTGACCGTGATGAATTCGATGTCGTTGGTACCGTCCAGGGTAGTTCAGAAATCTACAGTCGCAGCAGTAACAACTGGCTGGATGTGTCAGAGACCCAAAAGCACGTGCAGTGGACTTAGCTTTTGCACATTAATTTCCATGTTTTTGCAAAAGTTTTCGTGTCGAGGTCCCGATAATTACCGCCACGAGAAAGTCATGGCCTACAGAAGGTCATGGAACCTCTGGTGACACTGGTCCACTGACTGCCGGTCACACCTGCAGTCCATGGCAGGGAAGAATCCGTACATCTACTGTTCCTTGGGTTTCATCTGGTCACTGTGTAAATCCGAGGTGAGGTGAAGGAGTTGCCAAACTCTGCAGAAGCTTAAAGTAGCCGCCAGAGCACAAAACGCTTGATGACGATGATAAGTTACACAAGGAATCAAGAATCTTGTGTTCACCACTACAGAAGCAACCATATTACCCACAGTCAAGTGGAAGGGGGTTTAACTGATTGAAAAAAAAGTAGGAGACTACTTTTAGGGTCCCATATATTTATCTATACAAGGTATAGTCTTCAATTGTTCCAGTTTCGAAGATATATCTAACAACGTTTAAAATGTATGGATTATCTGCATGAACCACTTATTAAACAAGAGAATTTGCAGCAATACCAGCCAAGACAATTGCTCTCATATGTATAGCTTAGTCACTATTTCTCACATATTACCCACAGTCAAGTGGAAGGGGGTCTATCTGAATGACAAAAAGTAGGAGACTACCTTTAGGGTCCCATCCATCTATCCATGAAAAGTATAGTCTTCAAATGTTCCTGTTTCGAAGATATATCTAACAACGTTTAAAATATATGGATTATCTGCATGAACCACTTTATAAACAAGAGAATTTGCAGCAACACCAGCCAAGACAATTGCTCTCATATGTATAGCTTAGTCACTATTTCTTGCACAAAAATAGTACAAACATAGTTAATAATAACTACAATTTCGTGGGTTCTGGCTTTCAGGACTCTTCCAAGTTTCGCAGAAAAATGCTTATGTTTGGTCCAAAGAGCTGCTCTTTAGTCCAAAGTTAACTGCCATTCTTACATAAAAAAGTTCTCGCTTTGATATTTTTAGGTAAGTATTATTAAGGAAGATCACAACTACAACATATCCATTTAGGAAAACTTACTCCCTTTTGTAGCGTGTTACGAATGAAAAAAAAATCAATGGAAGAACAAAAAAACTATGAATATCTTGAAATAAAAATTCTTTTACTTCTTATGTCAAATAATCGAAGATGATCATAGTATTCATCTCAAAGAAGGTTAAAAATTGATTAAAAAAGCCTAATAAAATGTAATAAAAAATTGTAAGTAGATCATAATTGAATATTATACTTGCATATCAAAGATGAAATAAGAGTAACTTGAGGTTAAGTATTTTAAATTAAAAAAACGTACGCATTTTCAATTTAATGGAAAATTGACCCATTATGAATATATTTGCATGTTCACAATTTTATAAACCGTTTAAAAAAAATTCTTGTGCTCACAATGCTTCATATTTTGAGATTAAAGTATTGCAATGTAGTTTATTTAATACAACTTAGCCTGGTTAATTATCAATTAAAAAGTGTATATATATATTGATCGTTAAATTAAAATAATATTCAAGATGAAGATACAAAATTTCTAAGCAATTTATACTTTGAACCAAAATTATATGCATTAAAAAATGGAGTTATTTTTAAAGATCATAGTACAGAACATTTTTACGGCAGGATAAGTCAAAGTAAACTTCATAGTATTCTCAGAAAACTAATTTTGAAGCTTGTATGAAAGGTTATAAAGATTGTGAATCACTTGACTAAGATATGGTATCTACCACCAACCTTGTCACGTTAAACACCTCATAGTCGCCTGGGAATAATCATAAAACTCACGCTGATTGGTTGGTAGAGACCAAGTTCAAGTGTGTTCAAGTTTTGACAATGTTAACATCATTTTGATCCAACATGGTCCCAGTTTGACTTACAATAATTCCCAGATCTCCAAACACCGCTACTCGCCTTTACGGCACATCCGGTGTGAAAGCTATCTGCAATATCGAGCATATAGCGACAACCCTACCTATCTAGGGGTGCATGTACATACTTTGTGACACATGGAATAGGAAGTAATGATACAGAGTTTCAGCAAACAGCTTCGACACCTTCATGTAGGCACTAGGTCTTCATAAAAATATCAAATTGGTAATCGGTAAAATGAGCTTCTTCTAGTGACATTAAGGCATCCTACATACATATAGTAGTGAGTTAGACCGAAGAATCGTAGTTCAGATTCTCATTACAAGCATTACAAGTTTTTAGGCATTCGTCTCTAGTAGGGTCTTCGACTTGGCTAACCTGCTGTTGCTGAATCCCTCGCTCGTTTGGACTTCGAAGTTGCCGATTCGCAAATTTCTTGCTTCAACCCGCCTGCGTTTCAAATTTCTGAAACTTCTGCTCGAGATCTAGTCCCGCTTCTTGTCCCTGCGATTCTACTTGCCTCGTCTGGGCCTGACTTGCTCTCTCTTTTTTTTTTCAGCACGCACAGCTACCAGAATGGAAGGCGCGAAGCGAGAGAACGCATAGCGTTCTTCTGACGCTCTTCTGTCAGCGGGCCTGTGCGCGGGAAGCGAGGGTAGGCGGCCTACCTCGAGAAAAAATTGTGACCCGTCAAATTTTTGTCACCGTCATAAAACGGTCATCGGAAAGCCGTAAATAACAACAATACCACTAGACCCTTCTCTCGGCGTACGGCGTTTAGGTGAAAACAAAAAAATATCTAAACATCAAAAGAAAGATCAGAAGGAAGGCTTCTCTCCTCTGCCTTCGCGGAGAGGGGGGGCAAAATCAGGCTCCTCCGTTGCCTAACGGGGGTGGCTCCTCCAAAATTACTCTCTCCGGCCGCTTCGCTCCTTGGGGGGAGGTCACATGCTCTGGGCCGAAAAAATTGTGACCCGTCAAATTTTTGTCACCGTCATAAAACGGTCATCGGAAAGCCGTAAACAACATACAATTCGTTTGAATAGCACTAGACCCTTCTCTCGGCGTACGGCGTTTAGGTGAAAACAAAAAAAATAATCTAAAAATCAGAAGAAAGATCAGAAGGAAGGCTCCTCTCCTCCGCTGCCCTCCTGCCTTCGCGGAGAGAGGGGGGTCAAACTCAGGCTCCTCCGCTGCCTAACGGGGGTGGCTCCTCCAAAATTACTCCCTCCAGCCGCTCCGCTCCGCGACCTGGGGCTCCTCGCGGTTTAGGGTTAAAAACTCCACTCCTTATGCAATCACGAGAGTACCCTCATCTCCAGCTAATCCACGAAGAAAGTCAAAACCTCGAGTTTTACTTCTGTGCTCCGCTTCTAGTCGATCTCGATCTTCCTCTCGACAGGAACGAAAACAGGCCGTGCCCAAATCGAGCTCGCTTGGGGCGAAAAATAGTTTATTAAACGGTAACAAATCTCTCCTCACTCCCTCGTCTCTTAAGAAATGTTGTCTTTCCCTTCGCACTTCGGAACTTTTCCTCGAGTGTCAAAGAATCCATCAACAACCAAGAAAAGCTCCGGATGGAGTGAAAACCATACACTTTGCAAAAACCCGTCATATATCAGAAAAATATCTCGGAAAAAATATCACTTGTTAGAAAGCCGTCAAAAAAACACTCTGACACAAATACTGAACTAGAACCTGCTTTAATACCAATTCTTAAGTTAAACCTCAAATTGAGCAAACCAACACCACTATTAACACACAAGACACATATAAATTGGTTTAAGCTCAGGAGTTACGTCCACGGAGGAATACACTCAAGATAGTTTACTTGTTAAAGTGAAAAACTTCTTACCATTTTTAGAGCATATATACCCAAGGTAGCAAACCAACAACACTATCAACACATAAGAAACACATATAACGTGGTTTACCTTCAGGGGTTACGTTCACGGATGAATACACTCCGAAAAAATTTACTCATTCAACTGAAAAACTTCTTACCACTCTTAGAGTATATATATCCAAGGTAGGCAATCACTCTACGCTATAAATAACTACATGTGCGGTTAATTTTTTGATTTCTTAACTGTAGTTAACTTCACCATGTTCATCCATGTGCATGACTAGATACATAGCACAAACACAAGAGTGAATATATAGATAAATGGCAAAAGTTTATTTTATATTCTAAAATCACTAGGGTTAAAACTTTCAAGTATTGGAGACACTATTTAGCTAAATATAACTAGTTTAGATATTATTCTTTAACATGAGCTAACCTCAACAATTTGATAAATCAAATGAGTTTTGGATAATTTAACACAAAGATGTATATATCTGCCAATTTTTTAAAAATACTCATGCTTTTTGATAAAATATTGTCTTTAAAACTCAAACACATTACAATTTCTTATCATTGTAAAAATTTGAATCAAAATTTGTAAATTTGTAAAAAAAATTCAAATATAACCATCAAATTGTGAAAATAAGAAGACTCTCAGGTGAATATTTCAAGCCAAATATACTCTTGCATATTTGATTCATGTGGTCATGATGATATAAAACCTGCTATATAATCTATTTCTGCACAATCATCAACTTGTGGAAGTAACAAACCTCTCAAATGAATTTGTAGAGCCAAATATACTCTTACATATTTCATAAGCTTCATGGTGAAATCAGAGTTGGTATTGGTTAATAACTTGATAGACTGAAATTTGATTCCAAACACAATATAGCATAGTTTTTTAACCTTAAAAATGATGTTCGCATTGCACTAATTGGCTTATATTGATTTCATTTTATAAACATGTGTTGTCGAAACAACACATGTTTATAAACCTTAAAACTTATAAACCTAAAAGTTATGTAATTATAATCCGCTGCTAATATTGGACAAAAGAGTTATTGGAAGTAAATACTCGTCCTACAATTTGATATTCTTACTCAACATGAAGATTTGTTGAAGTATCATTGTTTAGCTCTCATGTGTAGTGCTTTGGCCATGACATGTTGTTTGTTGGCCTTTTTACTTAACATTTTCTCACTGAAGATCATCTTGAGGTCATCAAACATGCCTTGGATTTCTTGACTATAGAATCATTTTTGTGCACTTGTGTAGTCCAAAGCAAAACATGACATTTACACATTATGTTTATTAGGAATTTCACTTGGAGTATTACTTATGGATATGGGTTAAGTATAACTTCACTTATAATTAACCATGGGTAAGAATATATTACATAAAAATGATATTCTTAATTTTAATTTATTTGATCATCTGCAGCCAGTTGCAGTCTATACACTCTCCTACTATATAATCTTTTAACTCATGTATCTTTTCGAGATGACTGCATCGTGCATTTTGTTTTATCACGCTCTAAGGCAGTTGATACCCATAAAATTTGGATAAAAATATATTGAACCAAATAACTTTAAGTGCTCGGTTGAAGATGTGACACGATGACGTACATTTTTGCTGGATTTTGTGGAATGTTAAGTTTAATTTTGGCGAAAAAGACAACAGATTTAGCTATTATTTGCTTTAGACATCTCTATCATCTTTCCACTTTGCGCTTGCAGAAAATACTTACTCTTAGCATCTATGTAGAGAATAATGTTAATGTATGTAAGAAAAGTACATATTTTACGTTTACTTTTGTGTAGAGACATTTTAGCAATGAATGTATGACATAATACTCCAAATTTTATTTATTTATCCAATGATTAAGTTACAATTTACAATAAATTTGATAGACCATTTATTTTAATAAAAATTTTGTTTTTATCTTCAAGTGTAAGACCATTTTTTGTACTATGAGTATCTATTTACATTCTCAATCTTGTGACCATATTTGATTTTGATTTTGTTTTTACAGACATTGGATTTCTATTCTCATTTTTTTTCCATATTAATGGAAATATTTGTATACTTCGTTGGTATTACTATTTATTTTTATTAATCATTTGTGGGTGAAATAGTATATATACTTATCGTTAGCTCCCGGTGATCATATCGAGGTCAAATAATAACTATTCAGAAGGACATTATAAATTAATGGTATTTCTTCACATTGTGATAATTATCCAAACCGATCCATGAGTTTTTTTTTTTAACTCTTATCCTTTTTGATGTGACCATTTCAAGTCTTCAAGGACAAACACATTATATGATTTGTCTTTGAGTATTGTGTTGTTTGTACATACTCAAACTTAGATTCTAAATTCTTCATCATTCCCATTGTTTTGCTATTGAAACTTGATTTTATTAATAAAACAAAACTGGTATTATTAATGACTCCTTGTAAACTTACTATTCTATATGTTTCATTACTTTGTACTTTGAGTCTTCGACTTTTCAATGCTTCGAGAATGGTTCGGCCAATGATACGTTGCATTCTTCAGCGAACTATAGAAAAGTTCAGTTTAACCGTCAAATTAGATTGGTCAGTAATGCAAAATAGAGATATCAAACTATTTTCATTTGTACTATAACAAATACTTTACAACATAAAAGGAAATCATACCCACTTGTCGTCAGACTGATAGACGTCACATATACAAGGTTAATTCCTTCCTTTTAACCACTTCGCTTTCGCTGCTAATTAAATTTTTTTTGGCTACTACTTGACTCCTCTCTTGCCTTCACAGAGCTCGGGAATGTCCTACTACATATAAGTAAATACAGGTTTATAGCGCTTTAAGTACTGAGGTTAGATACGATGTCCCTATCACAATTCAGCAATCCGCTGAGATGTGCAAAATCACAAGTCGACAGGTGCCATCATCGACTTCACTCTGAGAGCTCGTGAAGAGTGAATAACACCTGTCACAAACTACTGACAGTGGTGCAACTGAAGGCACGTAGCAAATCCTTGTCCAGAGTCGTCATAATCGGAGTCGTCGCAACCGCATTCTCTTCAGCTCACAACCTGAAGGTTTCTTGTCATAGGTAGGTAAGGAAGCCAGGTACCATTCGGATGAACCCTGTTGGTAGGAGTTCCAGTTGTCTGATCCACAAAAGGGCCCCCGACATGAGCCCAATCGACCACACTGCCGGCATGATTTCGAACTTTTATTCCTGGATATTGTTCTAACAACTTTTTCAAGAACATGCCAGATCTCCTGCCAATAGCACTGCAATTTCAACAGGTTCGTGTAAGATAGCGATCACATTCTCAGTTCCCGTTCATGTCATTGATTTGAGAGGAAAGAGGGTTTGGAGCTAACCAGTAAGCAACAATTAGCTTTTCTTTGAAACTTTCAATGTTGGCTTCGAACTCCGAGATCGTCACTGCTCCTTTGTAGACCGACACCTGCAATAGCGAACGGAAACATGATAGAATTATGCTTGAGAAAAAATCACCACTCACTTCCTCCACCTATCCAAAGAGCTGGAGAGTGAGAAGGGCAGCGGGGTAAGGGAACTGACATGGCGCTCTGCTTCTGAGCGGCAATCAACTAATATAACGCTATCTCCAATTGCATTCTTCTGCACGAACTCAAGCAGCTCTTCGCCCGAAATGTCATCCACCTCCGGAAAGAATTCCTCTCGGAGCTTTTTGTATTTCACAAGCGCTGCTTCTCTCCTCTGTGCATCTAACTGTATTGCTTCTGCATCTGCCAGCGCCACCTGCTCCTTAGCGGTCATGCTTGGTGACTTGGAAGTGGAGAAGGGTGGTGGACACATATCAGAGTTCGAACTCGACTCATGTGCTCTACTCTCTGCAGGAAGTTCCTGAATTGGACTACTCGGTGCCTGCTGCCTGACCTGCCCATGTGTTCCGTCCAAGCCCTGTGCAGATGCTTCTCGCTCCTGCTGCTGAGGGATCGCAATCCTCGTTCCCAACATTTTTCACCTCAGGCTGGTCAGCGTCCTCAAGTTCTGAGATACACATTCGTGATCACATTGAAATAAAAATCAACTCAAATCTCGTAGCATTGATAACCTGCAAACATATGTCTCTTACCTCGAACTTGGAGCTCCTCACCAAGAGCAGATTTTGAGATTCAGCGTTCTCGAATACGGGTTGGTGGTCCAAATGGCATATTTTGGAAACTGACGAGTTCTCGGAGGAAGAGTGGATGTCACTTGACAGTTATGCTTCGATCGACAACAATGGGATACTAAGATAAGTGAAAGAGCTTTTCTTGGGGATTTCTCTACCGGAAGTACATTATAAGCATAATTCTTATATTAATTGGGCCGGATTTGCTATAAGATCCTGATGAAGCCGCATACAGACCAGCAATTCTCACAACGCAGTTTATTTTTATCGAAGAGGTGATGTCTGCATCCTCAACGGCAGCACATGAGATTCGGATTCAAAGTCGGCTTTAATAATATAATTATATACTGAGCGGCGCCAAATCTTGCTATGGATTGCTTTTGAAGATTTCGGTGTTCGTATGTGGCACATACTTCCATGTCAAGGTCCAGATCATCTCTCTGACATCTAGTTAAGAATCTCTCGGGCTTCGGATCGCACTTCTGATGCATGAGAAAACATGTTGGATTCTTGGACATGTAGAGTATGCGTAAAGTATGTTCGGCCGAGTCACTGGTATGTGTCAAAGTTGACTCGGTCTGTGATATCTAGACGTGGTATTGTCAGCCTGCCGATATCCTTCAGTGCTCACAACTACATGGAACAGTTTGATCCTCGAATGCACGACAGTGCCCGGAAGCCGGACGGATAAGAATGTATAAAACGTGGGCTTGTTGAAAATAACAGTGAACATGTCGAAACGATCACGCAACGTCAAAAGCTATCGACTGTATCTGTATACCGTGTATACTATTATCAAGACATAGGGTGCCTGAATGCCGAGTTCCGGCAAATCTGCACAAATCTCTCGAATAGACCAATGAAGTATTCGAAAACAGATTCTTGCTCTCGAACAAAATAAACACAAGCACTGTTCCTGGATGATCAGCAAGACCAGTTTACAGCCTAAGATTGACAATCAGATAGTGTCGAGGACATTGTTGTGCATGAATGGCTACCTGCAAAGGGCGATATGTCGTACGTGCTTGCGTGTTATTCTCACTGCTCGCCGCCGAGCATTGCCTGCATTAACTCCCGGTTCGAAATCGATACAAGGACCTCATTGACAATGCTGAGACGTTGAGTAGAGAATGAAAAATGAGCAACTAGTTGCTCAAACTGAGGACCTCGGCAGTCGGAACTTCGAGTTGAGGACATTCCTGCGCATTGAGAGCCCAGCAGGTTTCAGAACAGTAAATCGATCCGTCTTTTCCGCAGTCGCCGTGCTTTAATGAGGTCGGCTGAAACGACACCAACTAGACACTTGGGTGGGGGTAAAATCATTTTCCAACTGCCATGGCAGGAGAAAAGCATGTTGGTCCATTCTCGGGTTTAAGCCCCTGTTCTGTCATAGGTTCGGTAACACACGAATCTTTTGCAGTTTCGGGGTAATAGTAAAAAAGCTACAAACTGCTGCGATCAGATCCACAATCCACAAGGTAAAAGGCCTTTGAACTGAGCTGACTTCAAATTTGGTCAGGATGCATAAATTTAACCATGCCAAAAAAATGCAAAGCTTCTCGCAGTGCACCGACTCACCTGTAGAGGGGGATGAAGGTCTTGATGCCAGAGATCAACAGGCACGTAAGTCGATTCTTCCAACTAGCTTCAACTTACTCCTGCAGTCTTCAACTGGACGAAATACTGATCCGAATGAGCAGTCAAGTATCCTTGTGACTTGTCCTTCCACGGATTTACTAGCAGAATTCGGGCTCGAATTCAACGAGCACATGATGAAGGCGTTACACTGTAGAGATACATGTAATAGACCGCAGCTTGTGAAACATGCAGTATCTACACGCTGGTTTATGGTCGCCACGTGTTGCTATGGAAGCACGTACAGGTCAATTTCCGAAGCGCCACAGTGATTCGTGTTCTGTTTACCTTACTTTTCGTTTTCCATCCGGGTACGGCTGCGAAACAACGTGGCTATCTCAGAATGTGCAAGTCTTGTAGGTCCACCGACTCAAAGCATCCGTTTCACAAAATCTCTAGATGGAAGAATTTCTGCACATTCACCTACTACCATCTAGTGCAGCGGGTACTCGCCAAAAGGTTTCGTGTGACTTGAATGCTCAGCTAGGGGCTACGTCTGAACACTGGGATTCTGTCAAACGCACTGCAGATTCGGGTTGGTTCGTAACTAATATCGAGTACAGTGACTCAGCCTGATTGTATGTAGCGATGTCCCCGGGTGAGAGCGCGCAGAGTGGGCCTAATTTCTGGAGACTTCACCTTCACGGTTTTAATAACTCGTGCCCGGTGAGTTTAGCGTGCCCTCGGACCCGGTCGCTCCTTAAAGTGCAGTGCTACACTGTCGACTACTCAACCTATTTCAAAGAAGGTAATTCTATTTCAAAGAAGATTGAAAGTGGACATCTGATTTCTTTGAGTTGCTGAATGGCGATGTACTTTCAGCGTGAAATCCCCCAACTGATCACACTAAATCCCATCCCTCACAGATTTATATGATGGATGAATGCGACTCGAAGAAAGGTGGTAGAACATATCTACTGAAAATTTAGCATCATATTTTATAGTTAATATATGCTGTAAGAACATACATCCATATCAGTTTACATAATTCAAAATTCCATAAATATTTCATTTAAAAAAAAATTTCTATGTATTTGCACATTGTAATTTCAAATGGTTGAATGTCTACTATCTTTTATGCTACTTTTGTATTGTATTTGATTGCGAAAAGATCGGATCCAGGCAACTATTGTTAGAGTATGTACTTGTTAGAATAATAGAACCTTTTTTGTAATCATCATTTTGATCAATGAGCTTCAAACCAAGCTTCCGAATTATCTTTTGAGCGCATTCAATTCTTTGATAATTTTTTAATTTTATTCACAAACTTCATCGAAACATTTTTCTTGTCTTTTTTATGGTTTTTATAGATAGATCGTTATAACATTGAAAAAGAAATTGTGGATACCTTTGTGAACAACAAAATGTTGAATCTTGAAGACCAAGAGTATAATGCTCTATCGTAAAATGAGATTGATGTTAATGCTTTAATTTTTTTATACAATCAAGCAAAAATAAATACCAAAAAGTAAGCATTATTGTTTTTTAAGCTTACCGAATTGGAGTATAATTGTGAAATTTATTATTATTCAATGACAAATTCTTGCGATCAAAATCACATTTCATTTTTTTTTTGTTTAAGCTTGTCAAATGAAATGATAATGTTGCAATTTATTTTTATTTAGTGACGATTTTTAAGACACAAATCATTTTGTTTTGTTTGATTTTTCATGATATGTCTTTCAAGATGAAAATAGAATAATTTATGTAACGCATGTCTCATGTTTTTGGAACTATTTATGATTCATGTCAAACAATAATCAATCAGCAAACAATGTGTTGTGAGATGAACTTCACACATCTGCTTCAACTTGCAACTTTGCATCCAGAAAAACATTCTAAATGGTTTACAAGGTCTATTTTTGATGATTTGTCATGAATTTTATTGAATAGTATCACTAAAAGCAGGTATTTATGGAACATGAGCATAAAAATCAAAAACATTGATGCTAATATTTATAACCTACACAAATACAAGCATCAAATCTGAGATATTTGCTAAAATGTCACCATTTGTTACTGAAGATTTATCAATGGAAGTACCAAATAAGAGAACTTTCAAGATGTCTATTATATATGTGAAATTTTTTTAACACTCTCCAAATTCAAGATAATTCATTCAAAGAAGACATCAATATCTATCAATCATCAAAAATCATCTGAAAGTAGCTATTTAAGGTCAATAATGATCATGTTCATATAAATAGGTTAGTCATTCAGACCTAAAAAAAATCTACAGTAAATCATCTTAGATCCCATCATATGAACATGTTCAAGCATCCAAAGATGAAGAGGAAAAGCCTTTCAAAAAAAATTTAAGAAGAAACATCTCGGATGTCATCACATGTACATGTTCAAACGGCCAAAGATGAAAAACAAAGTAAACCGACTAAACATAATGATATCTATCAAAAGTTGAATATTTTTCAGAATGTCAAACTTATACCTATCACAATTCAAACAAAAAAAAAGTCACTAACAATTACACTTCATAGAGATCCTTGTCATTGAGATTTGTACTTAGCAAAAAAGATGATATCATCATGTACACATGTTCAAGAGATCAAAGATGATGAGAAAAATAAATCGATTGAGGAGAATGAGATCCACCAGAATGTAAATATTTTTCAGAACATCAAAGCTATACTTACTACACTTTGGAATGAGAAAGGAACAGCTATCCTCTATAAAAATCCTTACCAACAAGGTTTGTCCTTAGTAAGAAAGATAATCTCATCACATGTATATGCTCAAGCAACCAATGAGAAAAGTACACCCATTGAGTAAAATACTATTCATCAAAAGTTATCTATTCTTCATAAGGTCAGAAACTACAGTAAAACAATCAAGAAATGAGCCTGGAATAGTTACACTCAATACAATTTCTTACCAACAAGGTTTGTCCTTACCAAGAAAGATTATTTCATCACATGTACATGATCAAGTGGCCAAAGATGAAGAGTGTAGTATACAAAATGAGTAAAATAATATTCATCAAAAGATTTACATTCTTCAAAAAACCAAATTTATATTTATATTGAGCATAATGACATCCAAAAGAAGTTCCACTTTTCAGAAGATCAAACCTATACTTGTTTGGAACAAAATTAGAAAGTGAGCTTGAGACAGCTACATTCAATAGAATTTTTCACCAACAAGGTTTTTCTTTACCAAGAAAGATGAAATTTATATATAATTTAAAGTGTTTTTTGAACTTATCAATTTCACATAGATTGATTAGAAAACTTTTGATTTTTTATGTATTCTTGTGACAAAATTAGAAATTGTGATACACTTATTTGCGTTGTTAATCTCCAGAATATTATTGATCATCAGCAAGTATCTTGAATATTTTCATTATCTATCTACATTACACTATTCATTTATTAATCTAAAACTCTGAGTTTTTAATTTCAATCATTATTTCATTGTTAATCTACATTGATGTGCGTATTCAATGTCATAGATTAAACACATTAAACACAATGGTAAAATAGAGCTTGTAATCTAATGTAAATAAATAGTCATGAAAATTCAATGAAGGAGTTAGCTTAAAATCACATGAATTTGGAATTAAGACTCTTTTAATCTAGCTGAATGAAGGAATGTTGAAAATTGAAAAGATTGCATATTCAGATTATTGAGCAAGAAATTTTAATTATATTTGACAAATAACATATTAAAATAATGTTAAGTTTGATAAAATAATCTCAATGTTATTAGTTATTAGTTAAGATTGATATTAGTTAATAAATACCAAATTTCAAGATGAAATGCTCTTATTTTTTGTTTGATTGCAATATGGGTGGATGAATTTAAATTTATATCTAAATTTACATTGAAGAGAACAAGATTTGATGAAATAATTGCACATAAAATTATACATAAATGTTGTGATAAAATGTTTCGAATTAAGTGATATCAAGATATCTGGAAAAAATAATAATTCCATGATTTCATTGCATTAATTATGTTTTTCTGAAATTATAATTATAGTTCATTAAAGAATTTAATTATAATCAATCGTGTTATTTCAAAAATTATATATCATTTTTAGAAATACATTTTTTCTGTTTTTATTTTTTATTTTGTTAAATTTTATGAAAAAATGATATTTCACAAACATTAATATATTTATGAAAATATTTAATTTGATCAATTTTTTCGTCAAAAGATTTAAATTAAACTAAGTTCCATTATTCAAACGATTTTTATTGTTTGTCATCAAATATTGATTGATCATCATTTATTAAAAATCTCAAACAAAAGGTTGATGATTTATAATCAAATAGTATGTCAAAGTTTAAATTGATCAATATTAAATTAATTAAATTTAGAAGTTAATAATTTCAAAATAATTTCATAATGAACTATGAATTAAACTGTTTACAAAAAAATCAATCTCAAATCATTTATAAACATAAAATTATTACTTTTTTAAATTCCAAAGATTATACAGAATTTGAAATTTTTGAAATATATTTTTAGATAAAAATCTGAATCCTCATGCGATTGTATTATAATATTATAGCGCTTTCACTTTAGTTTTAAAACCCTGGTGTATTGTAGTTGTGACTTAGTTGTATTCCAAATTTATTTTGCTGAAATTCTTTTGTAATTAGATTATTATTTTTTCAATTGTACTACTCAGTAGATCATATTAATTTATTCAGAAGATATTATAAGAGTTGTATTTACAAGCAACTTTAACCTTGTTTCACTATTTGTTTAAAGAAATATTTTTGTTTAGTATATTGAAATGCATGCACATTTGTCTAATCCAAAATATACACAACTTTTTTGATAATTTCTTAAACTCTTTAATGTATGAATCTCCCAATTCTCATTTATTGTTTCCAGGTTCAAGAAAATATCCTTTCTTTATTCATTATGATCATGATGATATATATAATCTGACATTATCTGGACATACTTTTATTGATACAATACTCTGCAAAATGATTACGCATGAACAATTTTGCTGGTCAAATGGACGTAAATAACCATTTGAAGTAAAGTTTAATCAAATTAAGTTTTACATTATTATTTAGTTTTTAGGCACATTTCAGATTGTAATTTCAAATTTTTATAAATGTGATTTTTTTATATTGTGATATCATCGAAGAAGATAGATGTACATTTTTACATAGGATTATAATTCATATAAAAAAAATTTAGAATGAGAATTTATTTATTCTAAAAAATACTTTTATATATATACATATCAATTCATGCTTATGTTTGTGAGACAGTTTTATTAAAAGTGGTTTGAATTGATATGATTTGAACATATCATAAGAAATGATAAAAATTATACATATACATACATCATGTCAATTGTTAAAATTTTAATTAATTAATTTCAGTCAAATTTCTTCAATATTATAAAAAAGTTTTATAAGGATATTGCATATAGATGATTGAATGGGAAAACTGATTATTCCATGCTAATTTCTGATTCAAAATATGAAAAATGTTATATTTAACATTCATTGTTGATGTGAGTGATGAAGATGTAACTGAGCAAATTGAAAAGAAAAATTACACAATATGAATTTAATTTTTATAACTATATGAGTAATTGTATGTAGAATGGATCTTCAAACATATCAAATCATGTTCATTGATTCCATAACCTTTAGTTCTTAAATACACCCAATTGTCATCTAGAGTGAATAAATAAATAAATAAATAAATAAATAAATAAATAAATAAATAAATAATATAGAATAAATAAATAAATATACACTCTCATGATACTAGTTATCTTTCAATTAACGCTAATTATCCTTCACCTTAATATCTAGAGTGAAGGATAATTAGCATAGTTATTTAAGTTTTTGATCGGGTCTTCCGGACCGACCCAACCCGGTACTTGGGCCGGTTCTCCGGTGCCAACCCATTGTACTTGACTGGAGTTCCCCGGTGACTACGGTCGGAACACCACTGGAAGATTCTAGCATATGATAGCTGCGTTGCAGCTTGCTCAAAAATATTTATTAGCTTTGATTCATGTGAATCTGCAAAATTGTGCTTGCTAGTGCTGCCAAAGCTCCGTTTCATGCGCTAGTCTTGCCCACTAACACCTGCAGTCTTTATATAGTTATTACCTTTCGCCATACCTTCAAAGCATTTTGCCAAATGTTTACGAAAATGATCCAGTAGAATAAAAAAAATGCTTCTGGATGTCCAAAAGGTTTAGCCGACGGTTGGACCAATCTCTAGAGGTCATAACCATAGCTGCACGATTTTCTCAACCAAAAAAATCCTTGCTATACATGATACAAAACAACCTTCACGATTGAAGAAATCATAATTCTTGTCAAACCCAAAGTACTGAGCTCATCCTTGGTTCATGTAGGAGGGTTATAAAAGGTTGCAGAGACCCAACTCCTACACCAAGAATTCAATCGAGCGAAACATGTCTCCATTCGCGTTAGTTGCTCCAAGTGATTGGAGCAACCAAGGGGATTTGGCTAATTATCACTCACACTACTATACTAGGGTGAGGGATAATTAGTCTAAACTGAGTTATAACTAGCCGTTCACTTTTTAAAAATATATTTTGTTAAAAACATGTTTCTATGTATGAGCATATGCATAAGTTGAAGCCGGTAGTCTGTATACACTAAGTAGATAGATGGATAGTTCAGTAAGAGGAAATCTTAAAAGTATGGGATATGTTTCAAATTAGAGATATATATTTGAAAAAGTAGTAATGATTTATCCTATGCAATATAAATGAGTATCATGAGCTTGTTCACAATTTTCTTTCTATATTTACTGGTGTATTATTTTCATCGTAGTTTCTAAAAATCTTCAAAATATTTTTCAAACATATACAGAAATATGTTGAAATATAAAATGTACGTATAATAAAATCTAATGGGAACAATATTTAATGTACAATGAAATACATATGAACATGGAAAAAAAAGAACTTGTCACTAATGGATGGAGTTGTAGGCACTTCAAGTTTCTCATATACTAAAATTGGATAACGAGGAAAGGTATACCAAAATATATTTGATGCGTCTACTTCGATGATATTATGTTTCAAAATAAAGTAGATAGATGTTTATCACTTCTAAGAGGGTTGAAGGCAGGTCATGACTCACGTGGGAATATGATGCATCTAGGTCAGTACTTACAGTTGAACAAAATTATACATCGGAGAAAATATTGGTCGAGTCGTCCTTGCAACAGTAGTCCCTCCCGTCCAGGTGTGAGTGACTTTGGCTACACTTATTAGTCCTCATATTTTTGGACAGTCTAGACGTAATCGGGGAACCAAGTAGATAGCACAAGTATGGGAACATCATCGATGAAGATCGTTGTTACTTTCATTTATTGATGAAAGCATTATGTTACATTCAGTACTTATCGTGATAGGATTTGGCATTGTACAAATACACTATCGCCCCAGAGATGGTGGTCAATTCCAGCTAATCGTCTAATTAACGAACAAGACTCTACCATCACCAGCACAACTGCAGTGGGCGCACATATTCTAGCAGAACAGGGATGTAAAGTGTTTTGGTGAGAGGTAATTCTCAGGTGAAGGCTGCAGCTAGTTGGACTTCTTCCTGATCCCTTCAGGTGGGCCAGCTTTCGCGTGATCCCAGACCAGCAGCGTTGCGATGAAGACGCCCAGCTCTGTTCCAATAAGGTCATGTAACATACTGAAATAACAACAAGCAAGAGACCAAGGACCCTTGAGTATGTTATCCAACAACAAAGGAACCATAGGAATATATTCCTTCAATTTGATCAATATGCCCACAACATCAACCTCTCGTCCTTCCCATCGTCGTACAAGCAGAATGTACTAGTCTGTCGGGGCTTGTCCCACACCATGAAAACTCGAAAATGTATAACTTTCGTAGACAAGAATCACGGAACCTTGCGGCCAGCAAATCTGCAGAACTCGATGAATACTAACTAGCTGATTAAGTGATGCATAGAACGAGTTAAATGGAATGGGTTACAGTATATCGTAAAACTTACTGGAAAAGAGGATTCAAGAACGTGCTGTCGGCGTTAGCATTCAGCAGGAAGATGAAGAAAAGATTTACACCTACAGAAAAAATTGGGAGGAACACAACGCGCCAATCGTTGTCCAGCAGCTGCACAAACCATAAAATTTCAGTTAGCACCCTGCAGTGGACGACGGGGGGGGAGGCCACACTCAGTCCCTAGCAGCATTCAGAAAAGAAATGTCCTTTCCGCATGACAAGAGCAGAACCGAATAAACCGGAGCAAATGTAGGACGTAAAGTGGTCAATTGAAATGGACTCTTACCCTGTACAATCTTATTGACAGAATGGCGAATTCGAGCGCCATGAGGATGTAGATGGGAACCTTGCTGGGTGATATCCAGCTAGGAAGACTTGAACAGAACTCTGCTTCCGGACAGCTTTTCTTAAGAAATGCACCGCCTCCGTAAACCAGTGTCACTACGAGCGGCGAGATGAACAACATGATATTCGCAAGGTTCGCAAGTTTGTCCAATGCACCCGGTGAATGATTTTCCTTGAGACTGATACCGTTGGCCCAGAAGGCGATGCCCAGCATGAAAAAGAAGTAGAACATGAAATTCAAGATGAAGTATTCCTCCTGCATGCAGAACAGTCATGTCCGACGTTATAGTCGTCACGTATCACACAGTGAATGAAAATAGGAAGAACGAAAAATCTTTGTATCATTCTTAATGGATCTCAGTGAAACGAAAAACTCCACCGCAGTAGGTAATCATCTCAATGTACGGGAGGAAAATCTTCGAGGTAAACTACAACGAGCCTGACGACAACTGCATCACGATTCCTTCGCTTGATTAGAGATTAACAATATTGGTTTGAACGTCATGGTATGAAGAATGCCTGTTTCAGTGATTCAATAACGAAATTGCAATCCCTTTCAAGAATATTGTGACCAAGGTATTGCATGCATGTATAGCATGCAGGATTTTCTGGAGATGGACGCAGCTGTCCACGGGAAAGAGTGCTTGTTCCCACAGGAAGAGTGGATATCAATGTGTTTGTACACTGAGATTCGAAGGTAACTACACTTCTGCGAAAGACGAATGACATGATGAAGCGAAGATAAAGGTTAAGGGCTGCTGGGTATAGACCCTGATCGAGACCTTACGAGAGCCTTTGCATGTTAGCTAATTTCCAGGCATAGCCTGTGAACATATTCCGTCAAATTTCGTCAGCAGCAAAGAGGATGAGAATTCATAACATCCAAATTAACAAATTGGTACCATCATATGCTCGAAAGAATCTTCGCGTTGTTCAAATGAATCCTCAGCGTTGCAAGTATAGATAATGGCTCGACCTGTTCTCATTACCATGTTCTCACCATAGCAGCGGGAATACAAAAACTGGGGCCAATTATTTCTAAATTTCTACAGATCTATTTCCTACGAGTCACAGGAACTTTACCTGGTAGAACCATTGCTGGCCGACGTGCCAGCCGATCTCACCGCCAATTGCAACCATGAGGAAGGCGAAGCCCAGCACTGAGGAGAAGGCGGCCTTTGCTTGCATCTTCGCCTCACTTTTCCAGTATACATACATGGAAAACGGAAACAATGCGAATGCCAGCAAGTGTGTAGCAATAAGGAGAACTGCGCAGAAAAAATGTCAGATGTCCGTCTTAGCTTCGTTAGCTTAGAATCCGTTTTCAAAGCGTGACCGGACGCACCAGAATACATTATGCTGCAAGCAGACGTAAATGTTGATGTATCCAAATCTTGTTAGAGCGTAAAAAGCTTTTGAACATTCGTTCAGAGGCTTTGTTCCCTTGTGACACAAGAATTTTGAATCAGTGTAAACTATACCTTTCATGTACAGATTGATCTCCGAACAGTATTTTGGCAATTCATAAGTCGCGGACTCATTCTGAAACGCACATGGGGCATCACTGACGCTGCTGATATATATCCCCGCACTTGCATAAAATATAGCCAAGATGAAGGATCCAATTACGCCTATCACCAGTCTCGATTTCGCCATTGTGAGCTATACTATACCTTCAACGCGCAAACTCTAGATTCCTGAGACAACTAAAACTGGCAGTTCTAGCGTTTGTGTCTTCTATTTGCAGTGTCACAATCTTTAAATAGGAAAGAAAGCTAATGGCTCAGTGCTCAGGGAACGAATTTCAAAGCACTTCAAGACTTGAATCCTCAGAGTCTACCAACGATCGTGGTATGTCAATCAACTGAATTGAAGGATGGATTTGAACTAGGTCCGTGGTGTTTATATACCGTAGCTATTGCCTGTCCGAATGATCTGCAACCAGCAGCATGTTCGATGTACAAGGTGGGAGTATACTCACCACCGGTTAATTTTTGTCGTATATTGTGAACAATACTCATCCACAGCCATTACATGTTTATATCACCTTCTCTCGACCTCTACTCATGCAACACATTCACATTGTTAATGGATAATAGCTTGCACTTTCTTCATGGATTCACATTCACCATGGATAATAGCTTGCACTTTCTCCATGGATTCACATTCACCATGGATAATAGCTTGCACTTTCTCCATGGATTCACATTCACCATGGATAATAGCTTGCACTTTCTCAAGGATCGTTTTGTTTCTCGTTATGGCATCGTAGAAGAAAGGTTTTGGATGATACATCGAACGCCTATATACCTTATTTCGCCTTATCGCAGGGTCTATTGAATGTCAGTGTGCAATTTTTATTTCTTCAAAGACTTGGCGACCTCTGTGCGCTCTACGTTATCTTCCAACTTTGAATTCAATATCTCGGCAAACAAGTCCCAATAGGAAATTACTCATTCATATCCAAAGAAAGTTTGAATATGACAAATTTGTTTTGAGAGCCCAGCATCAGGGAGATCTACATAAGGCGGAGCGCACACTCGAGTCGGTAAATCAGCTGCTCTTCAGTCGGTTGGATGAAAAAGGAAATCTAAGGAACGACCGGCTCGAATACTGTAGTTTGAAAGAGCGTACAGTTCTAGCGCAAGACGTGGTAGAACTGTGCTACTGCAGCTGGAAATGGTAGTAGGGTGGTCTGAGTATCAACAATGCTAGTCACAAGGCGGCGCAGGTTAGGACGCGGATTGGAGCAGGTTATACATCTAACGCCATGCTGACATGCATACTCTCGAAAGTCCTGGTGTGCTCGTTTTCCGCATTGGAGAATGAGCTACTTTCTCCTTTTTCATCTATTAGTGAGAATCAGGTGCAGGGCCTAGAGAGCTTTTATTAGGTACCTGGGCTGTTCGAAGCTTACGAGAAAGTGGTCCTGATACAAGGGGGTTTTCTGAATGCTCGCTTGGTAAATTTGAAATGATTGAAGCTGACCTGCTTCCTGAGGCATGAGTGGTCGGTGATTAGTTATCGTTAAATTGCGACTCAGACTTTGTTCTAACATATCTTGGACCACCAGAAGCCTCTCCTGAAGCTCTGCAGAAAAAGTTGATTGCATCAAAGCCCAAAAATGGAATCCAGTAATGTCGAGGCCAGTTGATTGCTGGCCTCGACATCTAATTCAACGGTGCGTTTGTTGAGTTGGTAGCGAGAGGTGAACGTCGAGAATTATCCGCACGGATACGTATTCAATAACTAGTCTTGTGCAATCTCAACATTTGCTTGAGTCTCATCACTCTAAAGTCTAAATATGACACATAAAAGGTTGAGTTATCAACATAGATTGTGAATCACAAGGAAAAGAATTCACTGTCGTCCGCCAAAGGCAGTATTCTCTGAATCATTGATCTTTTTGTTTCAGATCTGCTATGGAGAGTAGATCCCGATAGTTCTCAACCCTTCGCAGTAAATCCTTCATAAGAGACCCCATAAGAAAATTACTTGATGTGACCCCATCTGAAACCTGAATACTTGTTGGGACCCAATACATTCCAATGGGACATTTCAGTTCACAGTCATTTATGTTCTCATACGAGTTCTTGTAACTACTTTGTTTCCATTTCTATGAAAAAAGGAAATTTTTCCCGAAGTTCAGATAGTCAGAATTCCACGGCGACCAATCTTCATGGTACGAGACCCCCATTTCTCGGCCGAGAATAATTTTACAAGTATAATGTATGGGCGTTATTTACTTACGGTACCGCGTTCATGCAATTTCATATTACAAATACAAAAACGTCGAGCATTCATGTAAAATTCAAACGCACCCTATGCAATATGGAAGATGTCGAGCGCGATATCTGTATTAACATAGTCTCTGCGATTTATCGTGCTATCTATAAGATGCATGTGTTCCACATCGACTGCGGCAAAGTGTTTTGCCCTGTTGTAAACCTCGAAAATCTTCAAGTCAGTGAGCGACATTTGCTACGTTCATACGTCGCCCGTGCCAGAAGATTCTGATGTTTGACGATATACACCGTGAAGCTTGTGGTCCATGTGCCACCAAAATACACGACGTGGATCCCCATAATCCAAAGCATGAACTTTTCGCAACTGTTGGCGGATCCGAGGTAGAGTGACCGTAATGGTTGTGTACGTGACACCTGCTACTATATTTCTCAGAAGGCCGGTTGAGAAGTAAAGTTACAGTTGACGGATTGGAGGTGAAGTGACCGTGATGGTGATGTTAGTTACACCTGCTACATAATTTCCAAAAAACAGTTGAGACTTAAAGGTACAGTTTAAGATAAGAGAACTCAAGAATTTTGAAAAAAATTTGGGCAGGTGGAATCAAATAGCTTCATCGACACATTTAGTCCCACATTATCCCGTTTGATATTTGTTTGGTTCTACATTGTGATGTTTTCTTTACATGTTCAACCATCAAGAATTCTCATGTTGACTTGTCCAACTTTTGTTACAAGCACAATCTTTATTTCTTCACCTTGTGGTAGTAGATTCACAAGATAATCTCTTGTAATTGACTCTTTTACATAAAATGTATTCTAAGTATAGCATCAAAAGCACCATCTAAAGGTAGATATTTGTGGAAAGATGTTTCAACAAGTAGATATTGTTTGCCTACAATTTTTTTATCTCAAAAGACAATTAAATCATCAACGAACTTGCAAAGAGTAATTATTGGATAATGTATACTTTATTGTGTTCTCACACTTTAACTAGTAAAAGATGATGACATTCATGAAAATTTAGATGAGTTGATATCTAGATAAAAGATAACATGAACCTCCATAAGTATTGCTATCTAATGCAGTAATGATCAACATTTGTTTTTTTATCTCTATCATATAAATTAATTACATATATATGATAATTTTAGGTTATAAATGATTTTAATCTCCATGTGTAATCTTATTTTTCCCTATGTTTAGTGTATTTGAAATCTCACTATGTATATATTGCTTTGATATAAATATTGTACCTTTAACTTGTCAAATATGTAATATTTGAACATTTGATTTGATTAACTTGCATTTTAACAGAATAATTTACATTCTAACACTAGGTCAGTATGACATTATTTTTATTGTGATAAAGCAAGTTAACAATATTTTTTGTATGATGATTTTTTGTAAGATGATATTTTATTTAAATATGATGAATATTATTTATTTACTTGTAAAATATTTTTTTTATCGTTTCAAAAATTGAATTTGTGACCCTTCATTGTACTTCAATTTTATAACTTATATCAAAATTATATTATTTATTTAGAATTCATTGCACATAAAGATTTGACTTGAAATGTATTGTACTAAATATGAGTATTTGTTGATTTGACATAAATCAAATTTAAGGTTTTAGAAGTTTCAAACTATACATTGTCATGATTATCTCAACATATGAATAGAGAGGATTTGTAAAGGTTCATGTAGAGCAATGATATATTTTTTATGAAGATTGATGTTAAGTTTCAATATAAATTTAATAGAAATATAAATAGTAATGTAATATATAGTTATATTATTGATCACATGATAAAATTTTGATGAATTTAATAGTAAGGTATAAAGTATAATCTCAAGCAAGTTTGGGTATATCTTTGTATGGTGAATAATTTATTATTTGATGATCTTTGTTTGATCAATGATGAATTCATTTTACAAAGCATATAAATGCTCTATAAAGTTTGTATTGAGTAAAAAATTCACTACTTCAACCATTTCACTATGTGGTATCTCAACAGCATGCTTTAGGGGGGCAGTATGCATCACAGACGAGAATCTAGAGCTTTTACAAAACTATTCATTTCTTTGTCAGACCAGCATCCATGTTTTGCCCTGCGACATACATCAAGGTTATTCCACACGCAGTAGAACTTTCAGGTCGCAACATTCAACTTTCAGACAAAATCATCTCTCTTTTACTTCCATCTCATATCTTGTTGGTTCTTTTGTTCGATGCTTGAGTATGTGAGACTCTGCTCTATGATTTTTTTGTCGTGCACTATCCAACTTGTTATGTGGTTCGGGTTTGTTGTACCTCCTACCTGATGTAGTTAGAAATGGTGTCTTGCTGTTTTTCTTCTCTTCTTTTTTGTGGCTTGAGGTTGACTTACGCATTACCATCTCTGGACTTAGATCTAGATTTAGACTTGATGTTGATCTTGATCTTTCCATTTTCTTAATTCCTAATACCACGAGAGATTGTCAAGGGAGATATGATGAGATGGATTGACCGGAAGAGGGATGCATAGACACCAACAATTTCAGTTGCATGTTGTCAGTCAATAAAGCAGTAACAACTTCATTGTTAGTGATGGTTTCTTGGTCACAATGAAACAACAATTGTGACAGGGATTTATAAGAGGCAAGCTAAAAACTAAGCAATTAAATTGTTTTTTGCTCATCATTCAAATCTTCTTCAAGGTTTTCAAGATCCACAATCAAATTATTGAAGTCATCTACATTGTCTTGAATCTTAATATATTCCGACATCCTGAAGATAATCAGCTTCAAAACTGTGTACAATCGGTTTGAAAGCTCCTTTTTAATTTTTTCGCAATACTACAGACAAATTTCATACCGTCGGCGCCACCTCCACTTGCTTGAAGACATTTGGCTTCAGATACAATAACACAATGCTCATCGTCTGGTATTAGATGTTGTTCTAGTCATTACCATCTACGTTTTTAGGTTTTGGCTTAAGCACATTGACCAAATCCATGGCATCATGTACACTATAGACTTGTCATTACCACAAGACATAATCATAGCATCCATCAAATTTTCCACCTCAAACAGTGGAACTCCAAGCATACTCGCTTTTTCTCCTAAAACCTAAGCT